CAAGCAATATACTATGCCATCTCTGTATTGAAACTGAGCCCACTTTCACTATGTTATTATTAGAAAAGGTCTAACTGATCAGCAGATCAGTTGAGACACAGGTAGTCCTCAACTTGTGACTGGTTGCTTAGTGACCTTTTGAAGTTATGATGGATCCTGAAAAAGTTACAATCCAGATTTGAGGTTCCATAAATTGACCTGCCCACTCCATCCCCTGCAGTCATATACTGCATTTTGGGCATTTGTTAACTGATCCATGTTTACAGCTCTTTGCAGCATCCTGCAATCATGTGACCATGATTTTTAATGTTTTTGTTGGAAACTGGAATTTATTTTTGGCTTCTGGCAAAAAATGCCCCATAGAAAACTATGGGTATGTTTTACAACACCCTCATTTGCTGAGTAACAGCTGTTTTCTTAATGAATGTCGCAAAAAGGTTAAATCAGTTATGTGATGATCCTGTTAACAACCATCACTCCTTACAATTATAATTGTTTAAATGTTACTATAGTCATAAGTTGAGAACTACTTAGAGGTGTTTTGGCATGTTTTACCCTCTCTTGTTAAATAAAACATATTAGTTTTCTGGATATATACTTCTATCAAAAATAATTCATGCTCCAATCAAAAATATTTCTGTGGAGCTCAGAAAAATGTTCCTGATGCTCAATTTGCTGAAAAGATCTACAAAATCATTGCCAAATAAAATGCTCTATCAGCTAATAGAGTGTGTACAAATAGAGAAACATGGCACCACTGTTACTCTTTCCAGGATTGTTTGTCTAACAAACTTGCCCTAGGCATTCAATACAATATTGAATTTTGCAGGCCACAAACATTCACAAACTGTCTCTCATCACTGAAAATATCCAGAACAATATGGCAGAAGATTAACAAAGAAGACAGTTGTTGGGCTGACAGTTTAGTTGTGTACTATATAATACAGACAAAAACTGAATTTCAACATTCTGCCAAATTGATTTTTTTTGTTAGTTTATGACTAACAATGTACATCCAGCAATTCAGTTTGGAACTAATGGTTTAAAACTTATTATGAGTAAGCATACTCATTATGACTCTTAGCCAATAACTGAACATATAAAACCACTTTACCACAATATAAAAATCCCAGTGAAAGAAAGTATTAGGAAAAGGATGGATGAGGAAGGTGATCTGGATATTTAAAGAAGAATCTGCTTCCTACCTAAACACAGATATATGAATATTAAGGGGAAAAAAACAGGCAACAAGAAAATTAAAAGAAGTATCATTCCAATTCATCTCAAACAAACCAAAGATATAGTTGTATGCAAAAGTTAGATATCTTTCATTGAAATGCTTATTCCAGTCAATTCCTAAATTAATAGAAGCTGACATAACCTCTATATGGTGTAAGGTTAAACATGATGTCTCTGTGCAAATATGAATATGTACTTCCTATATGTGCAGTTGTTTGCAGATTAGAAAGAGTAAAATGGCAGGTGCAGAATACTGGACATTTTTTCACTTACTAAATTCTGACTCTTCATTGGCACAATTAATAGATTTCAAACAATATATGTAGTGAAAGAAGAATCCTTCTATTCTTACTTTTAGGGTTTTCCCCCCATTCTTCCTTGGAGAACTTTCTAGTTCAGAAATGTTCTTCTATTTGATTATGCTATACATTTGATATTTCTCTCCAGATTTTTCAATAGTATTCAACTGTGAGAATTGCGAAGGGCATCCAAAAATCTTTTATCTCTCCTTCGTATTTCACAATTGATTCGGAGATATGTTTCACATTTTTATCTTGTTGAAATAGTCATCCCTTTTTCAGTATCTTCTCTGCCTTCAGGACTTCTAGGGATATGTTGATACCTAGATGAATGTATTCTTCTTTTAACCAGCACATTTCTTTGACACTAGATGTCACACAACCCCAAAGCATAATAGAACTTTTGTTGAGTCCTTGATGCTTTCTGAGCTCGGTTGTATGCTTGCAGACTATCTAACTAGGTAACACCATCAGTACTAATGAGGGTAGGGTTTGCTTCCTATTTATATACAGTAGCTTGGCCTGCCAGTGTTGATGCGGTTCTCCTTGGAAGTTCTTTAAATGGCAAGATGGTCTTTTCTTCAAACTTACTTGATTGCGGCCAAACATTTCCATTTGAATTTAACAGATCAAATCATGTCAGACTTATTGAAGTTTTCTTTTGCATATTTTGAACAACTTCTGTAAAGAAAAAGAGAGAAAGAGAGAGAGAAAGAAAGAGAAAGAGAGAGGTTCTCTCACGCAGATCATTGTGTCTAGGCAGTGTTGTAGTATAGATCTACAGACATATACTACAATGCCGCTACACTTTTCAGCAGATTGTTGAAGTGATCTATGGATTCTGCTTTGTAGGTCTTACTAGATTTCAGGTAGCTTTAGCAAAGATTTCTCTTGATCTTCCAGGCCTTGTCCTGATTTCAACAGTTCATTATAACTTCCATTTCTTAACTCTGTTTGTCACGGCTGAAACTGCTAGCTGGAAGTCTTTAGAAAATTGTTTATACCCTCATCCTGCTTTGTAAGAGTGAATTATCTTCATTTTGTATTATGTAGGGGTTGTGTCAGCTTCTATTCATTTAAGCATTCATTGAAGTATACAGTTTGACCAGGGGTGCCTAAACTTTTGCGTCTAACTGTAAGCCTGACAGTCATGCTGTTGAATAGTCCCTATTTTGACAAATCTAGCTGTCCCTGAGGGCATTTTACTCAATCCGTCTTTAGGCAGAATTACTCTTGTTCTCTTTTTCCTTGGCTCTTCCATTCAAAGGACACTTCCTTGTTCAAACTCCCAATACTTTTCTTTTATGAAATACTCTCCCCGTTTTTCATGTGGAAGAATATGACATTAGCTTGTTAGCAGCTGTATATAACAACCATTTGACACCTATCCCACTTTATACCGATCTACTCAATTTGGAACCTGAATAGAGTAATTGAATGCTTAATCTTATGAAGCCTCCCAAAGTTCAAATATAGGTAGTCCTTAACTTACAACCCACAATTGAGGCCAAAATTTCTGTTGCTGAGACATTTGTTAAATGAGTTTTGCTCCATTTTACGATCTTTCTTACCAGAGTTGTTAAGTGAATGTCTGCAGTTGTTAAGTTGGAAACATGGTTGTTAAAAGAATGTGGCTTCCTAATTGACTTTGCTTTGACGAAAGGTGATCACATGACCCCAGGACACTGTCATAAACAGTCAGTTGCCAAGTGTCTGAATTTTGATCAAATGACCATCTCTCAGGCTTCCAAGGAAAAACTGTCTGAAGCATAAGTGGATGGTGTCTTATTTTTACCTTATGCCGAGAGGCTCTTTTCGCCTCGGCTTCTCATCCAGACATTGATCTCCACTGCAGAATTGTCACTACCCTTCAGAAATGTCTTAGTCTGCCATTGCCTGACCTGTAAATAATTTACTTAAGCATGTTTGATAAAATAATAGCATAACATGATCTGATTTATTCTTAAATCATGTTTAATACATTTGTATAGTCTTTTTCTGTTACAGACACTTCATCAGGAAAGGGTAAGGGGTAGTTTGCATGTAACCAAAGGTCTAGAACTGCACTATTAAAATTTGATGGGCTGATTTTATTTATTTATTTAATAAAACAGATTGAGAACAGGTATGCCAGGTGCCTTACATTTTTGCTTTAGGATTTTAAGAAAAAAATATTTTAAAAACATTCAGATTTTGTAACATTTCTGTACCCAATACAATCCCCAAAAAGTGGAACTGTTTTTTGGGCTCAACTTAGGCTCAGGTTATATGTGGGCACTCCCCCCCCCTCCAATCACTCAATTTTTAAAGAAGTGCCAAGAAGTGCTGATTACCAGCTTTCTACTCTCAAGGAAATAATGATGTTCTGTACTCTGATTGCGAACTGTCACTTTCCAGCCCTCTGAATAAGTCTTTGCCACCAAGGGACTGATAGTCTTCTACCCTCTAACTGGAAATTGTCAGTTTCTCACATTTGGGTAGTATTGTCACAGTGAGGTACCCGTCATCTTCTGCCTGTTGCATGGAGCTAACATTTCCTCCCCTTGGGGACAATGACTTATTCAGACACAACTCTACATAAACATGCTACATTTTATCACTCTGGACATCCAATTTGTATACATCTAGATTTATTTTCCTTTGTTCTTTTTTAAGAACCAAACCAGGATTAATCTTCTGTTGTCTTTTCTGAAGCTCAAAAATATTTTTCATACAGTGAATCATCGTAACTATCTTGTCTAAAGGTCAGCTAATGGTTATTAATTGTTCTATACCTATCAATGGGAAAGGGTAGGAAAGAGAAGACAGCATAGGAAAGGGAGAAGAAAAGCAAAAGGGTGGGGTGGGGGTAATCATCGACTTATAGGGCTGGAAGGGACTTTGGAGGGAGGGATCTTTATTCCATTCCAGGCAAATGGTTGTCCCATCTTTGTTTGAAAACCTCCAGCAATGGAACACCCATAATTCTGGGAGGTAAGCTGTTTCATTGATTAATTGTTCTCACTGTCAAGAAATTCCTCCTTTAAAAAAAGCTTAAAAAGGAAGTTTAAGGGAAGCTTCCCTTAAGAGAAAGGGAAGCTTCTTTAGTCAAACTGGAAGCAAATGTTTCCTATGGCGTGTAGTTGATGTGTTCAAAGGTAGGGTTAGATGAAAGGGAAGAAAACTCTCCTGTCCATTTGCAGCATCTTCCCTTCCTTTTACAACTCTTAACCTGCAATTCATTTTCTGTTTGACCATTTCGCCTTCTAATTGGTTCCTTCACCAAAGTGGGAGTGGGTGGATCTTTGAGCTCTCAAAAACTATGCTGAAATAAAGCAAAGATTCAAGCTTTGAGAGTGGCCTCTTCCAGCAAAAGAACTTTTTGGCGCATCTTTGGCTGAGATAAAATGCATGTAGTCTTGCGTTAGCCACATTTCCTTCTTAAAATACAAACAATCATATTTTTATTTCTCTTTCTTTTAGGTTCAGCCCAGCTGTCATTTCAGAATGTCCCATTTCTTGAAATAAACTACTGTAATGGACCTCAATTCGTCCTCCCTTGTGTGGTAACTAATCTGGAAGAGAATAACAGCGTAACAATGTTTGTGTCATGGAAATTTCAAGGAAACCCATTGTTCACTTATGATGGAGTTTCTGGTAACATTACCAAAGGCAATAATTTTGAAACTGCAAAATTTCTGAACCACTCGATGCTACCTTACGGCATTGCTTCACTTGTTATATCAACAAATCAGGCTGTTCTTGGAAATTATACTTGTGAAGTAACAGAAGGAAACAGAGAAGGAAAAACAAGATTTGAACTGAGAGCGAGTTCAGGTAAGTTACTTGTTTAGATGTTCTGTGAAATCCGTTGAAACTTTGGTTTTTAAAATCTACCCATGAACTATATAGATGTTGGAGAAGATCATGCAATCATCAGAAGAATACAGATGTTAGGCTTGGCTTCATATAGCTGGTCATAATTTGGGTTATCAATCGTAATATCCCTTTCCCTGTTTGTATCAAATAATATAAGAATTATATAAAATAGGCAGAGTAAAGTGATTCCCCCCTCACAATTCTCACAATTTCTACCACTCCATATCCATGACAGAGAAATAAAGAAGTGTGAATAAGAATTTAAAATTTTCCACTTAGGGCAAATTTGGTAATTTCAGAGGGGAATTGTCAGCCTTCAAGATTTTCTCCCTTTGCTTTGCATACTTCGGCTGTCATAAGTAACGGGGAGGAGGGGGGAAAATTATGGGAAGTGAGCTGGAGGTGTTATAAACCAGAACTGTATAAACTGGGGTGGGGGTGGGGGTACATTCTTGCTTAGGTTTCTATTCCTTGCTTAGCTTTCTCTTCTATGCTATGCGCAGCTGCAAACCTTTATCAAAGTATGCCAAGGTCAACGGACAGAAGCCTCATCACCACCTGGAGATGCCCACATGATGATATTCACAACTTTTAATTGGAAGAACCATTTGAACTATTGGGGGTGGGAACGTTGCCATTACTTTGTATATGTGATTTACGCGCCCATTTTCTCAGATTCAGAATTGTTTTGTTGCTACCACTTGATTTCCAGTAAAAGATATCTTTTCTCTAATTAAAAGAGTCTTAAGTATTTCTTTCTTGGATTTTGAATGGAGCACCAGCTGACATTATTCTGAATCTCCCATTACCAGCCCACCCAGAGAGATAATACATTTTCTTCCGAGGGGGTCTGAACATCATGTCAAGTCCAGCCAGCGACCAAGAAGACCTGGGAGCAACTGGAGGACAAGATTCTCTGCTGCTAGAGGAAGCAAGGGAAGCTGACTTGTTAGCAGAACTAAATCTTGGAGAAAAACCAGCTGTAAAACCCAAGTGGTCCCTGCGAGTTGGCTGGAAGGATCCTGAGGAAAAGCCTCCTCCAGGAGTGACCACTACCCGTTGCGTGGAAGAGAGGAGCCATGGCAAGAGAAGGAAAGGAAGAATTTTTTGTTAACTCAAGCCAGGCATCTTCTAAATGAAGCTATCGGAGATCCTCAAACTGAACAAAGGTATGAGGGAGAGGAGGGGGAGGCAGCCCCAGCCAGAAGAAGCAGAGCAGCCACCCCCATAAATCAACCCGGGCTAGCGCAACAGGCAGCAGCAGCCCAGGGGCCCCCAGCGGGAGAAGTAATTGCCAGAAGATGGAGAACTCCAAAGGTGCCTCCATTGGAAGTGAAATATGGGGGGATCCCAAGGAGTTAGGATTTTTCCTAGCCCAAGTCTGGAGCCATATGGAGGAATACGGAGGGGATTTTTCCTCAGAAGCAGCCAAAGTTAGATGTGTTAGATGCTCTGGAGGGAACAGCTGCAAAGTGGATGGTGACTTTGCATAATGATAATGCCCCTCAGCTGATGAATTATGACCTCTTCATGACTGCGCTGCGGGCCAGGTTTGAAGACTCGCTAAATGTAAGGCCAGAATTAGGATGAAGACCATAAATCAGGGGCGGAGATCAGTGGCCGACTACACCCAGGAATTTAGAGAGCTGGAGTGTCATATTCGAGGCTGGTCCCAGGGAGCCCTGATAGAAGCATTCAAAGATGGGTTAAATGAAGATGTATACCAAAGCTGCATTGCCAGAAGAGACCCCAATGAGCTGCAGATGTGGTACGTGCTGGTAGCAGAGGTGGAAATTGATCTAACCCAAAACAGACGCCGGGGGGGTTCTGGTTGGAGCAAGTCCTCCCCCACCCATCCTCGAGAAGCCTTAAAAACCCAAAAGGGAGGGATGGCGGCGAAACCCAAGACCACTGCTTGCTTCCAATGTGGGAAGGAAGGTCACCGGGCTGCAGATTGCAGGGCCAAGCTGGAACCAAAGGGGGTGCTAGGAGGAGGAAAAAGACCTGAAAAAACCCTAGCGAAGCCTTGTGAAATGGCGCTTGAAGTGGACGAGGTTGTAGAGGTCGCCCCTCCGAAAGGAGAGGAGCTGGGAACTCCAACCTCTTCTGAAGAGAGTGAATTCGAATTGGAAGATGACTCACTGGTAAATCCAAACATGGGCCCTATGACCATTCCAGTGAAGTTAAGGGTACCCACATCGGGAGCCAAAGGGAAAATGCTGGCCTTGTTAGACTCTGGGTGCACAAGGTGCGTAGTCAACTCGGAAGTAGTGGAGAAAATGGGCTAAAGACCTTAAAAACGCCCATAGCCTTTTGCCAATTGGATGGATCGGTAGCTGGGGGCGGCCCTGCACATTTCATTATGGAACCCATAGAAATGACAATGGGGAAGCATAGAGAGACTTTGTGTTTTATTGTGGCCCCTGGAATGGAACGGCCGCTAATACTGGGATTGCCCTGGCTCCGGAAATGGAACCCCCACGTCGATTGGACGAGGGGGTCATTGCGCATACGTACTGACCAGCTCCCGGAAGGGGAGGGGCGATCTCAACCGAAACTCAAGAATCCCACTGAACTGGCCTACACGGGTACGGAGAAACTGAAGGGGGAGGAGAAAATTCCAGAGGAATATTGGGACTTAAAGAAAGTATTCAGTGAAAAGGCCTTGGATGAGCTTCCACCCCATCGTTCAACAGATTGTAGTATTGAAATTTTACCTGGGGTGAAACTCCCAAAACCGAAGCTATACTCGATGACACCGTGGGATCTAGAAGAGCTGCAGTCATTTATCGATAAGAATTTGGAATGTGGTTTTATCCAACCCGCTAGACCCCGGCCCCAGTGTTGTTCCGTGAAAAGAAAGATGGCTCCCTTTGCTTATGTGTTGATTATAGAAACCTGAATGCTATTTCCATGGAAAACGTGTACCCCCTCCCCTTGATGAAGGACATGTTGACCCACCTGGCCAAGGGAAATTTTTTACGAAGCTCAACTTGAGAGAAGCGTACTACCGGGTTCGAATTAAGGAAGGGGATGAATGGAAAACTGCTTTCAACTGCCTGATGGGTTGTTTCCAATTCAACATTCTTCCATTTGGCCTACAGGGGGCCCCAGCAGTATTCATGCAAATGATCAATCAAGTGTTACATGAACATTTATACAAAGGGGTTTTGGTTTACCTTGATATCCTTATCTACACAGAGACTCGTGATGAACATGTGAAACTAGTGCAGTCAGTTTTGGAAAAACTCCGAGCCGCTAAGCTGTATGCAAAATTGTCCAAGTGTGAATTCCTTCAGGAGAAAATTGACTATTTGGGTTATCGCATCTCACATGAGGGCATAGAAATGGATCCAGGGAAGGTTCGTGCCGTGTTGGAATGGGCCCCTCCACGCACCAGGAAACAACTTCAGAGTTTCTTGGGATTCACCAGTTTTTACCAACAATTTGTCCCGGCTTTTGCAAAGATAGCACTGCTTATCACAAACCTCCTAAAAACCAAAGGGGAGGTGAAACAAAAGCCAAGCTGCCTTTGAAAAGCTCAAACGACTGTTCGCTGCTGAACCAGTACTCAAGCACCCGGACATGGATGCTCCTTTTGTGATCCAAGCCGATGCGAGTGACGTAGCAGTTGGAACGGTGTTACTGCAAGCAAATGAGATGGGGACTTTACAGCCATGTGCATATACTTCCCGTAAATTATCTGAAACTGAAAGGAGATGGGTTGTCTGGGAAAAAGAAGCTTTTGCAGTTCGCTGGGCCCTGTTAACTTGGAGACATTTCTTAGAAGGAGCAAAACACCCATTTGAGGTGTGGACTGATCATAAAAATTTGGAGGCCTTGAAAACGCCCCAGAAGCTGTCCCCCAAACAAATTCGCTGGGCACAGTACTTTAAACTCTTTAATTTTTCATTGAAGTACATTCCGGGGGGGGGGGGGGAGGAACTTCATGGCGGATGCTCTATCTAGATTACCTCAATATAATAGTGCTCGCCAGGAAGTGATACGGCCGATTGTCCCAACCAAACAGTTGGCAGCTCCAGTGGTTACCAGAGCCCAAAAGAAGAAGGAGGTGGATTTATCGAATGATTTGACTGCACAATTAAGAGATGCTCTAAAACTTGATGACTGGTTCCTTGCTTACTCAAATAACTGTAGGGTTAGAGATGGATTGGCATGGGTGGGAACCAAATTATATGTGCCAGAGAAACTGAGGAACCAAATATTACAGCAGGCTCCTGACTCTAAAGCTGCTGGACATTTTGGATTTATGAAGACCTTACACTTGGTTAAAAGGCAATTTTGGTGGCCTACCTTGAAAAAGGACATTGAGACCTATGTGACTAGCTGTCCTATCTGTGCCTCAGCCAAACGGCCCCCTGGTAAGCCAGCAGGCTTGCTACAAAATGTGGCTAGACCAATGGCTCCATGGAAAGAAATCTCTATGGATTTTTTAGTGGAATTACCTGAAAGTGGGGGAAACACAGTTATACCTTGTTTGACGATCCCATCTGCAAAAACGTTGGCTAAACTGTTCATTTTACATATCTACAGGTTACATGGGGTTCCTGAACGCATAATCTCTGACAGGTGTCCAATTCACCTCGAACTTTTGGAAGGAGTTCCTTAAGTTATTGGGCTCCGCCCAGGGATTAAGCTCCGCCCACCACCCATAAACTAATGGGGCTTGTGAGAGGACTAACGCAGTACTGGAACAATATCTTAGATGTTACATAAATTATCAGCAAGATAATTGGGCTGACCTATTGCCATTTGCTGAGGTGGCATATAACAATTCCATACATAGTAGCACTGGGTTTACTCTGTTTAAAGTGGCAACGGGGCAAGACTTTGTACCCATACTTGAACTTCCATGTGAGAAGCCTAACATTCAGTGATTAGATGAATGGATAACACAACTCCAGCTTACCTGGCCGGTTACTCGTAAAGCATTAGAT